TCACTTCCCGGGGAAGGGTTTCAAAGCCGATTCGAAAGGATCAGTAGATCTCTCCACTGAGTGCAGATGGAGGGGAGCACGCTTTAACGTGTGTTGTGTGGTGCGAGAGCTTTCCAGGGGCTCGATTCTGAAGCAGCCGTTCTCGGGCGCGGAGGAAGGACGGGCGTTTGGCGCGGTTGCTGGCGCGATGCCGGGGTGGATAGCTGGCAGGAGGGCTCAGCAGAGCTGCCTGAGCGCAGCGTGCTGGGCTCTGAGGGATTGCCTGTTGCTGCTGCTCTTCCCGCTGATTCCTGGGGATTGTTAAGGAGGCTGTGATTGATTCCGACCCTGTTTTATTTATAAAATCTTTATTTCTCGTGCTGGTCTCCGTGCCATTTTTTTAACGCATTTAGCTGTCAAGGTGTCAAAAACTGGAGAATTGCCTTTGGAGTTTATCTCCCAGTCCATCCATCTTTGGCGTTTATCAGGTACCTTCGTATCGCTCGGGACAGGACTGACAGCTCCTCCGGGGTGTCTGTTGCACCACCAGCAAGGATAGGCAGTGGGGACACGTAACCACAAACCCTGTCTGCCCTACCGGGGCCTGGCTCCAGGCCCAGCACGGGTGAGAGCACCCAGTCTCTGTCCTGTTACTTCTCGAGACTCCACAGCAGAGTCTCTGGACTACAAATCCAGGTGGGAGAAGCCCCTTTCCCTGTGGAAGGAGAAGGACCGGGCATCTCCGGGTTGCCCTCAGTGGCTGTGGGGTTGGGGGTTCTTTCCTCCTGGCTGTAAGGCTGTGGTGATCTGAGGTATTGGAAGTGCTGTCCTTGGAGAAGCAGACCCGTCCCGCTGCCGGGGGCTGGGGAGGGTGAGGAGAGCAGCCCCAGACTGATGCAGGTGAGCTGAATGAAGTGTTACATCTTTCTGTGTTCGTAATGCAGCTTCCCCCGTGCAGAGCAGGCGGGATCGGCTGGTTTGTCATCTTGGAGGAGCTCTGAGTTTCTTCCTTACCTTGTAGAGATGAACGAGGGGGAATTTCCTTCCTCTTGGGTGGCAACAGGAGGTCGCCTGTGGTCCAGGGCTGAAGCCCTGGGGTCCCATGTGGAGGCTGGGGCAGGAATCTCTGGTTCCTTCTGTTTGCACCCTGGGTGGTTTCTACTGCACTGTCCCTGGTGCAGGTGGTGGCTGGGGGCGGCTGCCTCCCTGGGGACTCTGCTCTGTGTGCTCTGAACTCCAGCACGCTCACGGGAAGGGGAATGCTTTTGGCAGAGCTGTTGTGACTTTGGGCGGCAGAGGGAAGAAACGGAGATCCGAGCCTGCTCCACCGTGTATGTGCAGCAGACGCGCCTCGCCAGTCTCTGATGGACGGGAATGTGTACTGGTGGGTCTCGCCGCTTTCTCTGCCTGCCAACCCTAAGTGATTTGAGTTCCTCCTCTTTGGAAGCAGGCGCTGTAAATCTTGGATCCTCCGTCCCCGGGGCAGGCGTGGCTGGGCGCCGAGGAGCTGTCTGATGGTTCCCAGGCCACGCTGATGCTGCTCTGCCAGAAGAGAGATGGGGAAAAGATACTTCTGTGACTACTGTGACAGGTCCTTTCAGGACAACCTCCACAACAGGAAGAAGCACCTCAATGGAGTGCAGCATCTCAGGGCGAAGAGAGTCTGGTATGACTTATTCCGAGGTGGGTACTACCAGCTGTCTGCCCCTCCCTCGCTGGGGCTGGGGAGGTGATGGATGAGGTGTGGAGGGGGGAACAGATGAAATCAATCAGCGCTGATGGTTTCTGTTTGGATTGTCTGTGCCGGTGAATCGCGGGCCTGATATTGTTGCTGTCAGGTGGTCTCGGAGGCAAAGCCCTCGTGTGTCTGGGTGTGGGAAGGGGAAACTGGATGTCAGCTGGGACGTGAAGTGAGGTGGGAGAGATGGGAAGGTTGTCTCTGAGAGCAGGAGTTGCAGCTAAAGCTCTCTTGGCGTCATGAGCAAACCTGAAAAGGAGACTGGCGAGAGCAAAGAGAGTTGCAGTTTCTGAAGGCGTTCGGTGCCTGCTGCAAACCAGAGTTGCTCTCTGAGGTGCGAGGAGCAAGGAATGGAAGGCAGGCTGTACACGCGTGGGGTGTGGGGGTAGGAAGCTCGCAGCAGTTCTCCGAACCGGGTGGAGGTGTCGCTGCGGAGAGCGGCCACGGGAGAGGCTGAGGATGCTGCTGCTTGACTGGAGACCCCAGAAGGGTGAGCGGGCTGGGGAAGCAGCTCAGAGCAGTGGGGTGCTCGAACTTGTCTTCGCAGAGGAGGAGGGCTGGGTGCACTGAGGTTTTGACAGAGAAGGAATTGGAATTCTGGGGCTGGAGGCTGCGTCAGGACGTGCTGGAGGAACGAAAGCCTGGTGTCCTCTGCCTGTTTAACAGGACTCTTCTCACCCAGCTCACCGCTCTGACCTGGCTTGCCACGCAGTTATGTGTGTCTTGGTGCCAGCTAATGTGCATCCAGAGTCTGAGGGTGGGCAGGACTGTCTATTTTGGCACTAGCAAAGACTTAGTTTGGGTTAAACTGGTTGTGAAACTGTTGCAAGTGTGATGTTCTGCTTCCCTGTGGTTGCTCAGGATCAGGAGTTGCAGGCGGTGTTTTTCTCCTGGCTAGCTAGGTGAGGAGCACCCTGCGGAGCTCTGGGTGGCTCTGCCGTCTGCTTAACCATGCCTGGAAGTTGGAAAGGCTTTCTGGAAGGGTCAGGTGTGAGGGACCAGCAGCCCCAGCACAGCTCTAGCTGGGTCAGTGATGGTGAGGCGTCTTACCTAGTGCTTGTCTTCTCACCGGGCTGCAGGCCTTGATTTTCCTCTGATTGATAAAATTCCTCATCCCATCCCTGACCAGGGGGTTCGTCTCCCTGTGTCCCCAGACTCTGCGGCCTGACGTCAGCCAGTGCAAATTCTTCCACAGCCCACGGGAGCTGCTGTGTCTTCGGGGCTCGTTTTCCCCGGGACGTCTCCGAGAGGTGAAGGACCGTTTCAGTGGTGTCCGCTGGAGGCTCGGCACAGGGTTCTGTGAGGCCTCGCACAGAGCTTTTCTGAGAGCCCTGCGAGTCTGCCAGGTCTTTGCTGCACAGAAGCACTGCAGAGTCCTTGCTTTTCCATCATGTTTCTTTTCCCCTACTGACACAGGGAGAAAGCATGAAGCAGAAAGCAAAGACAGTGACGTTTGCAAGCCAGTGAAGAGCTGAAGCCAGGACTGCAGACAGGGACTGTTAACTGTCAGTTTGTCCGTGGCTGGAGCTCCTGGTTGTCATGTAAAGTGGCTTCCCGCCAGGCAACTGGCCTTCCTGGGACAGTGACAAGATGGGGTAGTGCTGCACAAGGGATCTTCACCCTGCTCGGTGTTTCGTCCTTTGTCTCTCCTAGATGCTGCCGCTATCCTGCAAGAGGAGCAAACCAAGAAACCTTGTCGGAAGTTTCTGCAAACGGGTGAGTTCTGCTGTGGTGGAAAGAACTGCCTGAGCTCCAGCAGCTCCTGCGGGAGCCAGCCCAGGGCTGTTTGGAGAGCCCTGGTGTGTCTGTTTGTCTTGGAGGGAGCGGAGGGCTTGCGCCTGTGTCCCCGGCGTGCAGGTGTGATGGGTCTTGGGTCTGCATGCGTGTTTGCAAGGGAGGACCTTGTGTGTGCGGCTCTCGTGCAACATCATGGCTTTTGTTCCAGGACAGTGTGATTTTGGGTCCAACTGCAGATTTTCCCACATGACAGAGCAGGACCTGGAGAAGCTGAGCGCCCAGGTTCAAGGTGAGTCCTTGAACGAGAAAATGTCCAGGGATCTCTGAGGGGGGGGAGTTGCTGCAGGGAGCGTGGGCTGGGTAGGGGCGCATGAGGGGTCGTGCAGCGAGAGCCTGCGATCCCATGCTGCCTGCCCGCAGCGAGCCGAGCGTGGATCCCTCCCGCCTGTCCCGCAGTGCTGTGCGAGCCTGCAGCGTGCCTGTAAGTGCTGCAGTTCTTCATACGCTTTCTGCTCTGGAGCTGCTGGCACAGGCGCAAGCCTGGAGCTGAGCAGTGCTGTTACTGCTTAGCAGCAAACATCCGAGGCAGAGTGGGCTTTCGGAGCCCTCGGGGTTTTGTTCAGTCAGGGAATAAAAGCTGTCAGCAGCAGAGGGCACTGGTACATCACTTCCCCTTAAATTTATGGATTTGATTTCCCCCCACCTCTCTGCTATTACCAGGGAGCTGCTGCTTCCGCTCCTGGGGAGAGTTGGCCTGCCGTAGGTTGGGTTGTCCTGAGGAGAGGACATGGGGTGTTGGATCGAGCAACGGCCTCGCTCACGTGGCATTGGGTGGAACTGGAGTCTGGGCAGAGGACGAATGGCGACTGCTCCCCTGCCGTCGGTCTCCAGAGCACGCTGGAACTCTGTCGTTCCGGGAGTAGCACCTCCTTGCCCTAAAAGGGGTGGCAGCTCCATGTTCTCTGTGGGATTCGTTGCTTTGGTGGTTAGAGAAAACGTGAGCGGCGTGTTGGTGAGAACTTGTGGAATGTTTGAGGTCTCCACTGGAGATCGCCTAGTCCCGACCCTGCCTTGCTGAAAGCAGGGAAAGCTAGAGCAGGGTGCTCAGGACCACGTCCAGTAGGGGTTGAGGATCTCCAAGGCTGGGGACTCTGCAACTGCAGCGGGTAGCCTGTTGCAGTGCTTGACCACGTTTGCATTAAAAATGTTTTTGGGGTGTTTTTTTAATATTTAAATGGAAATTCCTCTATTTGTTGTTTTGTTTGGGGGTTTTTTTGAATATTTAAGTGGAAATTCCTCTATTTTGGTTTGTACCCATTGTCTGTTGCCTTTGCTGGGCTCCCTCCAGTACCTCCCTGTCTCTGTGGTGCTGGGGGCCAAGCACCAGGCACAGCACCCGGACGTGGCCTCACCAGTGCGGAGCAGAGAGGAAGGCTCGCTTCCTCGTCCTGCTGGCAGCAGTCCTCCTCAGGCAGCCCAGCCTCTGAGCAGGTCCTGTGCCCACACCGCTGCCTGCAGCCAGCTGGTTTTCTGCCAACAGTCTGGCAAAACCAGGCTGAGGTGCTGGAAGCCTGTCTGTGTCCGTGTGTCACACCTAGGAGATCCGGGCTGTGCGTGGGACAGAGATCCTCTCGTGGCCCTCCGAGGGATCAAACGCGGGGAGGCAGGGCGCTGGGAAGCTGGCGGAGCGGGAGGAAGGCAGGCGCTCTGGAGCTGCTCCAGCCCTCGCCATTGCTGAGTCAGGCTGCGAGTCCCCGAGGTGACTCTGTGAATCAGTGGCTGAGCGAGGCTGGCAGTCGATAAAACCCGTCTCGTCGGGCCGCTCCAGCCAGCCCTCCTCGCAACACTTGTTACTGAATATTGACTTCTGTCAAACGGGTCGAGTGTAAGTGGAGAACTGGCTAGTGAGAGCGCCGATTCCTGGGAGATTACTTGGAAACCTTATGTTTGTATTGCCAAGTCAAACATTTAATTAAACAATTAGACTTCAAGGAGCGGTGGCCGGGGGACAGCAGGGTGCCTGTTCCCTGGCTGTGCTGCTCGAACGTGAATGCCTGGTTGTAGGCTGACGTCCTGCTCACCTCTCTCGTGGCGGTGCTCCGCAGACGTCCCGTGCGAGCCAAGCGAGCAGGCTGAGCATCACGTAGACCTCTCAGTCTGGTCAGCTGAGCCCACAGAGAGCTTGGAGGGGTTTGGTGGAGGCAAGGTTCATCCCATAATGCGGTAGACCGGGCTGGGGGGAACAGCTGCCCAAGCCAAGCCGCCACTTGGTGAGCTGTGGGGACGTGTCTGCACCAGTACAGGCTGGGGCAGACCTACTGGAGAGCAGCTCTGTGGAGAGGGACCTGGGTGTCCTGGTGGATGACAGGTTGACCATGAGCCAGCAGTGTGCCCTGGGTGCCAAGAAGGCCAATGGGATCCTGGGGTGCATCACGAGGAGTGTGGGCAGCAGGGCGAGGGAGGTTCTCCTTGCCCTCTGCTCTGCCCTAGTGAGGCCCCATCTGCAGTGCTGTGTCCAGTTCTGGGCTCCCCAGTTCAAGAAAGATGAGGAGCTACTGGAGAGAGTCCAGCG